TATGGAGAAAAGGACTTGGGGTAGAGGCCAAGTTAGGCTTCAGTGCAATGTTGGGGCACTGAGAGGGTCTCTGTCTCCCTGCAGTTTCGTTGCTCTCCGGGCCAGAGCTGGACCAGGATTCACAAGATCCTCCCCAGCCCTGAGTTCTAAGATTCCGCCCTTGAGCTCCGAGACCTCAGGAGCCTCAGGACGGGACCCGGCTCCCCGGCTGCTTCTCTCCGCTCTCTTACTGAGCACACACTGAATGTCCGCAGCATGAGGGCCCCTTGCTAAGGCCTGAGGAGTTAGACCCACAATGGATGCAGGCCCTGTCCTTCCACAGCCCTGGGCCAAGTTGGGGAGAGAAAGATGTGATGCTGCCTGGTAAGGGCCAGAGGGGACTTCAGCCCACATTGCCCACAGATGCCACCTGAGGAAGGAGGTGAAGTCCTCCCCAACTGGTGACCGGAGCTGAGTTGTGCAGAGGGAAAGGTTCAGACAAAAGGAAAAAACAAGGGGAACAGGAATGAGCGAAGAGGGCAGAAGTGAGTGGTGCTTGATCTGGGGAGGCGAGAGCAAGGTCCTGTGGCCGGCTTGGGAGGCAGGCCCTCCCTGCAGAGCCTTCTCAACAACCCACTGCTGCCCTCGGGCGGGGCATAGCCACCACTTCCTGGCCCATCTCTGTGAGGTTGGCTCACCTAGTTAGTAGGCAGGGCTCGAACCTTAAACCTCTAACACAAATCAGAGAGGCAGGGAGAGAGAGAACAAGCACAGGAAATCCTGGGAGGAGGGGACAAGGCTGAGTAACCAGAACATGCATTGTCAGAGTAGCCTTGACCCTGGACCAATGAAGAAGGACCACAGCGGGGCTGCATGTGGGTGGCACACACCCCCTGTAGCCCAGAACACGGTGCTCGTGTGCTCTGAACACGGAGATGCAGGCAGCAGCCTGTTGCCCACTTGTTTCCCACATAAATATTTATATGGGGACAACAAGACATGCAGTCTCTTGTCACATTGCTCCTCAACCCTGCTGCTGCTCGTTAGAAATGTTGGGGGAGCTTCACAAACCACCCACTTCCAGGGACTCTTCAAAAGGATCCACATCATGAAAAAAGATGGAGAGCCTGTTTTGGATTAAAGGACATTACAGGAAATATGACAGCTAAACGCAATGTGCGGCATGTGAGTGAATTCTGGATTCAGAAAAATATGTAGAACGTTATTGGAAAATAGGAAAAACGTGACCGTGAGCTACAGCGATGTCCATGGCTGTGATAGCAGTCGCGTGGTTATGTTGGAGACTGTGCGCAGGGTGAAGAACCACGGGGTGTGCCCTGGATGGTCCGGCAAAACAAGTGCGTGCTCTACACCCACGGGGGAGGGAGCGGCAGGTAAATGTGGCAAGAAACACATCTGGATAAAGGCTATACAGTGAGTCCTTATTTAATGTTGTCAATAGGTCCCGTGTCTTTAAGCAAAACGACCTATAACGAAACCAGTTCTACCATAGGCTAATTGATATAAACAAGAGGTAAGTTGTCATAGCATCTCATCCACATGTTAATGGAACAACGTTGAACAAAACAACTTTACTCAAGGCTGTGTCAGTATTTGTTACACTAATCTGTCAACATTCCGCAACATGTGACAGTTCCCCACACCCTTACATTTTTTATTTTTTACAGTCCCATGTCCAGACCCCATCACTGCCTCAGAGACTTGAGCTCAGGGCCAGTCCTCGGTATTTTTGTTTTATGAGCACCCCCCGCCAAGGGGGCTCCCCCTACAGGCAGAGAGAAGACCACGCCCTATTTCCTGTCAGGGCTGGAAACACTTCTGGCCTCTAAGGGCCTACCCATCCCCACTGGTAGGAGGCTTTTCCGGCTGTTGGAGATGCCAGGAGATTTGGGGTTGCTAATGACCAGATGCCTGTGCATCCCACATGACCCTGCACTGGGAAGGAGCGGGGCAGGGCCAAGGTGGAAGTCAGCCACCAGCAGAGCCACAGCAGCCGAGCCACAAAAAAAGCAGCTTCAATGCGTGCGTGAAGCTGAACCCTGCTCAGCAAAGGCACTCGAGCTTGGCTGCACATTAGAACCACCTGGGGCGTGGGCGGGGGGGTGGCTAGTTTAAAAAATCCTAATGCCCAGAGTTTATTCCAAACCAATTAAGTGAGAATCTCTGGGGATGGGACCCACACATCAGTATTTCTTAACACTCCCCTAGGGATTCCAATGCGCAGCCAAGCCTGAAAACAGTGCCCAGGAGTGCGCTCTGCGGATGTGAGGCGTCACGGTTAGTACCTATGTGGGCCTGGGGAGGACAGCGGCCAGCTACTGGTTTCCTGTGGTCACGGTGCCTTTACCTACTGGCTGCCCCCTGCAAGTGGCCCTAACCAGCTGAGGAAGGAATAGAGTTTCTGAGCAGCTGCGTGCAAATCGTGCCATGAAAGAGGCCCGACTTCAGCGTGTGGGGCTGTGCGCAGCCCGCACACCCCTCGGCGCGCACTGAGGGCGTGAGGGCGTGGGCTGCCGGCCTGCAGCCGGCTGCACGCTCAGGCCAGTGGACACTTCTGGTAAGAAGGGACAGGGCGCCAGGTGGAAGAATGCATGATCTGTGTTCTACTCAGTGCGGGGACACCCCTGGGACGTCATGCATCTCTGCTCATACAGAGGGGTGGATGCCCACCCCCTTTTCCCCCGGAATCAGGGCGGCATCTGGCGCGGGCGAGGGGCTCCCCCGATGGCAGTGCAGTCCTGCGGGTCCCTACAGGCTCTGGGGCCAGCAGGGGACATGCTGCCGGGGCTCCAGCCAGCCCGTCCAGCCAGTGGGTCCCTGCAGGCCGCAACAGTGCACCGGAGGCCGCTGGCTGGAGGGAGAGCCTGCCATTCCCAGTGAAGTCTCCCCCAACCTGCAAGGGGAGGACCCTGAGGCGGGAGGGCAGACGGAGGGGAGGGGCGTGGGAGGGAGGTTAGAATCCTGGTGTCTGTGGGGCCCCTCTCAGACACTCGCCTCCTGGGCAGACAGTCAGAATCCGCAGGGGGGCTTCGGGAAGCACCTCTGCCCTCGCCCATTGACAGGCTGGGGCTCTCTGGGGTGGGATCCCACCCTGAGAGGAGACTTTAAAAGCCCCCACAGGAGACCCAAATGTGCTGCCCAGACTGTGGAACTCTGGTTCTCGAGAAGGACTTCCCGGGCACTGGATTCTGCCCCTGCCCGGGCCATACCTGGGGCTGAGGACAGCAGAGCCGCCCCAGGGCTCCCCAGTAACATCTGCCTTGGTGACAGCCACGTGGGGAAACAGACACCTCTCGCTCCACAGAGGAACAAGCACTGCTTCAACTGTTTGGGGGAAATAATCTAGCAATTCTTAGAAAAGTACAAATTCCTGTATACATTAACCCAACAGCCTCACTCCTGGAACCCAAACGCAGAAACGTGTTTTCTGCCAGGTTATTGGTAGGGGCTAATAAAGCTAAAAACAGTAAGAATGTCCATGAATATGGAGGCTACTCAACAAATTGTGTGCTATGAAATTTTATGAATGTTTGTGCAATTATTTTTAAGGATTAGAGCTATCACCATTGACCAGGGTGGGGGTCCATGTAATAGTATGTGGGAAAAATACAAGTTACAGCAAAACAATTTTTCCATTATTGGGAAGAAGAAAACAGAAAGCCAAGGCTGAGAGTGTGTGAATACAAGTGTGGGGGTGTGTTTTCTGGTGTCTGAATGTGCATGGAGATATCAGGAGCTCATAGCTCCACGCTTTCGTGTTAGTTATGTTGGAGAGCAAGGAACAGAGGGAGCAAGGGGCATATTGATACTTTCTTTATATTAGCTTATCATCCTCTTCTAGCCAAAATTCAGACATGCTACCATTATAATTAAAACAATTAGTAAAGAAAAACCAAAGAGCGCACTCTGGGATAAGACTACCTGGATTCAAATCCTGGCTCTGCAGGTTCTGGCTTTAGTCCCTAACCCCTCTGCTCTCAACATGCTCATCAGCGACAGGGGATCACAGTACTGGCCACATCGGAACAATGTCCGCACTGCAGGGGGAGGATCAAGTGAGATGAGGCACTTAAGCACTTCGCGCAACATCCGGCATATTGCAAGCCACAAAGGATAACTTCAATGTTGTCATTATGGAAAAAATCTCATCCTAAGTCACTCAGGGCCAATCTTCTAAGTCTAGGTAAGCTCACCGACTCCAGCAAAGGACGCAGACCCAAGCCCCATCTTCCTCTGCACTGCAGAGGGGCGCCCCGCGCCGGCTGCCCCCGGAGCTGCAGCGTAATGACCTTGGGTGTGCAGTGCTCATTATTCCTTCCTCCAGCCCCAGCATGTGTCACGCTGTCCTGCTACCCAGTGACAACCTCTGGGCAGGGAAGCGCCTGGGATCTCCTGGGAAGGGATGTCCTATAAACGAAGATGGTTACAATAATTACATAACTTCAGCCCACCTCCGCAACCAGCACTTCTGCAAAGCTCACATCGCATACATGCATTTGGTCCTGACCTTGGGCCAGCTGGGGAGACAGGAACCACAGCTAATTAGAATGATAATGGCCTGCACCTTGTCCAGCATGTGCTGAGCTAACTCTCTAAGCTTGGGGACTGGCTTTACACGCTGCTTCCTGCAAGGGAGGTGGCAGTAGGAAGAGGCAGGGTCCAGTGCCCTGTGTCCGGTCCATCTCCCCTGGAAAATGATGGGAGACGGATGCATCTTTTTTTTTTGGGGGGGGAGATATAACAGACCTACAATCCTATATTAGGTTCAGTCTTCAACATAATGATTCTATGTCTATATATATATTGCAAAATGATCACCATAAGTCCAGCTAATATTTGTCACCATACATAGCTACAGAATTTTTTTTGTTGTAATGAGAACTGTTAAGATCTGCTCTGTTAGCAACTTTCAAATATGTGGTAGAGTATCATCAACTATAGTTGCCACACTGTCCGTGACATCCCCAGGACTTGCTTATGTTATGCCTGGAAGTTTGTACCTTTGACCCCCTTCATCCACGTTGCCCCTAGCCCCGCCTTTGTCCTCTGTATCTAGAAGCTTGATGTTTCGTTTTATTTCTAGATCCTGCATGTGAGATTATATTGCATTTGTCTTTCTCTGTCTTATTTGATAGGTAAGGCGCGGAGCAGTGACCAGCTTACCCAGACCCTGCCCTCGCCAACTTTACTCTTTACTGAGGAAGACCAACACTGAGCAAATTTTACATCTCTGACTCTCCCCTCCCACACAGCCCTCCTTTGAAAGGCCAGAGTAGCTGTGCTTGCAATATGTTATCGACAACTTGAAGCGACCAGACATCCGCCACTCCTGGCTTCTGTGAGCGCTTCGCATCACCCCACCCCGGCAGCGTTCCAATGCCACGGCGGTGTGCACGAGGTCTCGCTGACACAGATGGCATTTCTCAGAACCTCGCAGAAGAGGCCTCGCTTTCCTTTCATCGGCACGTGCTGCTGATGGGATCTGAACTACGCGCATCTTCCTCGAGGAGAGGAGCCTCGCACAAGTGGCTGCTCCGCTGGGTTCCTGCCAGGACCCTGGGGGCACGGGCGCCATGTCAGGTGGGTTTGTTGAGTGGTGGCAGCAGTGAGGTCACCATAAAAAGGCCACAGCAGCAGAGCTGTGGTTGCTGGGCGTTGGCCGACCACCTCCCTGTGCCCCCATCGGCGATGGCTGTCCCTCCTGGGCTGCATCACAGCTCCAGCCATTTGGCAGATACAGAAAGGGAGCAGCATGCTTTTTCTGTCCCTTTGGAATAACGGCACTTTGCATTTGTATAGAAAATTGAATGCATTCAGTGCATTTTCTTGTCTACTGCCTGGCCTGATCCTCATGAAACAAAACTCCCTGTGTTTTGCAATTGTCCACACTGTAGAGGCGGCTTAGGGATCGGAAACAGTGACACTCTGTGCTGGAGGGGGACCAGTGCCCCAAATGGCTTCAAGAATAACAAATCCCATGTACCTCACAAAGAGCCAGCACCACGGCCCAGCAACACAGTTCTGCCCTGCAGAGAAGCTGCATCTGGAGCCTCCGAACCAAGTCAGCACAAGCCCAGAGTCCAGAGGAATGCTCCTCGGGGTCTCGGGGCTCTCTGGGGGCCCCGCCTGGGGACGGGCTGGCACCCAATCTTAACTTTAGAGAGAGGCAGAGACTGGGTTGCGCTACAGGGAATGCGTGGCTGTGAGGATCTGGTAACATTGGCACATCTTGTGGCCTAGAAACAGAACCCAGAAATGTTTCTTGCTTTTTCAGCAGTTTGGAAAAGGACGAGCATTTGGAGGGCTGAAAAACAGATTTTGTTACTTCTCCTCACATTTTGGGAAAAGGGAGCCTCTGGAAGCAAAGCTCCCACTAAGAAAAACAAGTTGTACCCGGATTTCTGGCAACGACTCGTCCTGCTGGGTGGACCATCTCCGAGGACGTAGGAAGTTGGGGACTCGCTCCTTTGGTCCACTTAGGCTCCCGGTAGCAAATTACTGCTTTTACTCTGGTTCCATTTAGAAAATGATGGCTTTCTAAATCACACCCTGGAGGACTGAGAAAGGAAAAGGCCGCTCTGCCTGAGTTGCTGGAGCCTGGCTTACCCTCCAGCTCGGTGCTCTGCAGTCTGGTTGCACATTAGAATCGCTGGGGGCGGGGGAGGGGGCTGCTTTGTAAACCCCAATGCCCAGGCTGCAGCCAGACCACGGAAATGGAGATAGAGGCCCTGGCGAGGGGGGCCCAGGCACAGTATGGTTTTCAGTTCTCCAGGTGACTCCAATGTGCGGCCAAGGTTAGGAGCGGGGGCTCCTGCAACACCCACAGCCGTGCTCACGCATCGGGCAGGGAGGGATGCTCTGATAGGACAAAGCGCGTCACACCCGTCGCTGGCCTTCCGCGGTCTCCCCCGCTTGCTCTAATCCCAGGCTCAGCCGTGAGAGTTCTGCCCCATGCACCGCGAGAATTACAGTCCAAGCCATTATGTGGTTGCTGGGCTCGTGTTTACTAGTCCAGTTTGCTAATTAACGTGAGTCAGACACCACGGTAGGCAATGCAACTGATACAAAAATTAGGCGGATATCATTCTGCCTTCAGGAACACAAGTGTGTACAACACGTGTACAAGCAACTATAATACAGCAGACAGCGTGATCGGGGCTTTAAGAGGTTCTCGAGCAGGATTTCAGAGAAAAAAACAAGATTGCTTTTAGCTGGACTGAGCATGTTATCAGAGCTGACCCCACACACACACACAGCCTCCTCAGCACATAATGCAGGACTAATTCCACTGCAGGTGCGAAAGGGATGAATTCCAGTTGAATAAATTAATAAATTCACAGAGTACTCATTGAAACTCACCAAGGCCAATGCTAAGGACCCCTCAATGCCCTTCACCAACCCCTATTTTGCACAGCCTCCCCCCAGTACCATCAAATATCATGTTGACCTCTAACATCTCGTCTCTCCCCTTCCCCACTCCCATGCCCACCTCCCACTGCCCTTGAACTTCTGGGGTGCCCTTCAGAGGCTGTGTACCAGCTGCTCTGCAGCCCAGACTCCTCCCTGAGACCGAGACCTGCGGCCGTCCTCCAGCGTCTACCCTCCCTGCCCTCTGGAATGAAACCCCCGACTTGGGGCTGAGCATATAGCTCCCCAAAATAAGATCAGGAGTGGCCATTTGCCCAAGATCTGTCTGATGAGTCAAGTGGAAGTGGCGTGTGCAAATTCTGGGTCATGTCCTTCACGGGAATGGCCGTTGTCCTCTTCCCTCCCCCGGCTTGCTGCCTGAAGAGATGTCATGGCGTCCTACCCCCGTAACCATAGGTTCAAGGAAACGCCCTGCTGACGGCAGCGCTCCAAAGGCCAGGGGAGCCTGGGTCCCCAGATGACCTGGGGAGGCAGTCCCCCCGCAGCCCCCGGCCCGCACAGACTCCCCCAACAGAGCCGGCTCCCTCGTGTCTGTTACTCACAGTAGAACCCACATCCAATACGCTTTCCCACCCCCTGCAATACCTGGAGTTCCTTTTTGTATTAATGAGAAGAGAAAGTTATTATGGAAAACCAAATTATTTCTGTCAGAACGGTCAGTGATTTGGGGACTACTCATAGCAAAACTGCCAAGAGTCCATAAATCTTTATTGCTCAGAAGGTCAGCCCGGAGAAGCTGCTTTGCTGATGAACGCGATAAGCTGATGGGCCTCTTTTTTCTGGTCTGCACCGTCCATGGCGACTATGGGGGAAACTGACGATCGTCACTCTTGGTTAGTGGCCTGCAGAGACTGGCCCCTCAAGGAGGGGCAAGCAGCTCTGCAGAGGGCATGGAAAGTAAATGGAAGCAGCAAATGGAAGAAGCAAGGGACAACCAGAGAGAGCATGGGCTCTGGAGCCAGACACAGGAGCCGGGTGGCCTTGGGCAAGGTGCAGGCAGGTAATGTCACCAGCTCACAGGGCTGCTGTGAAGATTTAGTGACACAGCCCTCCCTGGGCCCCTTCAAAGACCTGCTGAATCTGAACTTCCCAGGATTGGAGAGGGGAGTATTAGTCAGCGCTCACCAGGGACACAGAACCCACAGGATATATGCGTGTGTGTGTATACATATAGCTATATCTACCTATAGGTCTATCTATATCATCTATATCTATACCTACATCCATACCTATATCTATATCTATCTATATATAGAGAGAGAGAGAGAGAGAGATTTCAAGAAATTGGCTCATGCAGTTTTAGTGGTTCGGCAAGTCCAGCTCTGCGGGCTGAAGTCCAAACTCTGTCTGTCTGTCTGCTGCAGAATTCCTTCTTGCTTGGGGTGGGGGAGGCGTTGACCAATTAGATGAGGCCCACCCACATTACAGAGGGAACTCTGCTTTACTCAAAGTCCGCCAATTACACCCTCACAGCAACATCTAGGATCCTGTCTTATCGCACACCTGAGCACCATGGCCCAACCAAGCTGACACGTGAAATTAACTGTCACCAGGGATGGGCGTTCAGGAATCCGTATTTTTAATGATCTCTCTAGACATGATGTGAGGCACAGCCAAGTTTGGGGACCACCCTTGGTGAGGCACCCGAGGCCACGGGCGGTTTCAGGGTTCCTCCTGCACTACGGTGAGGCCTGCTGGACCTCTTCCTTTTGTGAGGCTGGTTGTACCGGCCCCACAATTAACCCAGAACCAACGCTGCGTCATGTTGTGGATCAGTAAGCTGTTCCCCCACACACAGCCAGGGCACAGCAGGCTGGGCGAGTCCCCCCCAGCCCGGGGCCCATCTCTGCCCGGGCCGCCCGCAATGGAGTCGGCGGCTGTCTGCATTTGCCAGAGACTGCCAGCCTCTGCGGTTGGAGGCCTTCGCCCTGTCCTCTCTCCTGCGGCAGATCCAGTTCTTCAGACCCTCGGGGCCACTTGGGGAGCTGCTTAAGAGCCTCCAGCATGTGCATCCACCATCGGAGTCACCTACTAGCTCCCAGAGTGTTCCTCCACTTGGGCCACCGCAGAGAGGCGCGCCTGCAGCGTTTTCAAAGCACAGACCCACCCTAGATCTGTGCCCTCTGCCCTGTAACACTGTGACCCTGGGCTTAGCCATGTGACTCACTTGGGCAATATCAGTCACGAGTAGATGTGATAGAAACTGAAGCTTGAAAAAGTGCTTTGCACGTCCCTATCTGCTCTTGCTTCTCTGTGACACCATGAGATCAAGGCAGGCTAGGCCCTGGCGGGCAAGTGGACCAGAACCCCCCCACCCACCAGCTGGGGCCGTGGCAGATTAGCTAATGGTCTGCTGGCTGCAGGGCAAAAGCACAAGCCCCAGCCAGTCCCAGAGAACACCCCTCCTCCATACAGGTCCAGCCAAGATCCACGGCACCAACCAGACGACCCCTGGGCTGGTGAGAAACAGAAATCGTGATGGTTTTTGTAGGCTCATTAGCACTGTTCCCACGGCAGTGGGGAATGAACAAGGAAGAGACCAGCCAGCAACCCAGACCTTGTACGCGAGGGCGCTGTTGCGACGTCCTCTGCTCCTCTGGCTGCAGCCTTGGGCGCAGCGTGAGGATGTGGTCTTGCTCCAGCCCCCTCCAGCCTCCAGTTCAGCAACCCCACGGTGGCACCCCTATTTACACGGCGAGGAAAGTGTTCCATCCTTCCCCCCAACTAGCAAGGAGTTCGCCACAGAAAGTACCTGAAAATAAATTATGCAGGAGACATGGTTCCTGAACTAGTTGCAAGGTTTGTTCCAGGATATTTTTACTTACAACACTCCCTCTAGGGGCGGTGAACTATCCTACCAAGAAGTTAAACGGAATTAGAAGAGAGCTGTAAAGGAGTCCAGTCGGCCCCATCACGGTTAACGAAGCGCATTATGGGGTCCCTGAGGCCCCGCATGGCTCCTGGTATTTGTATCTTCCCTTTAAAATAGCTGAGCAGTATTACTGCGGTGACAGTCCTTCAGGAGCACGTTGCAAAGAGAACCAAAAATCTCCCCCGTAACGTGGACTCTGGTTGGAGAGACTTGCCTTCAGTCCCGGCTCCACTACTTTACAAAATAGGACATCCAAGGACATATGCTTAACCTCTCTCAGCCTTGATTTCCTCATCTGTTAAGTGGGGCCATTCTGTAGGGTTGCGAGGATTAAAAGAGTTATACTTTTAAAGGCACAGAGTAGTCACTCAAGAAATGCAAACAGCTGTGACCATTGTCACACTGTAGAAAGCCTGCAAGAAAGAGAGAATTCTGATCTGGAAAACTTCTGAGTCAAGGCTGGTCTCTCGAAGTCTTTCCAAGCAACAGCCTCGGGGCTCCTGTGTCTCTTTTCACTACATTTGTCTCTCAGTTAAAGCGCACCTTCCCCTCCAGAGCCCGGGGAGTGAGCAGATAAAAACGCTGGCAGTCAAGCCAGTCCCTGTGGCAGGGAGCTCCAGGGATTAGAGATAAGGCACATCTTCACCATCTTTCCAAGTAGTTTAATGTTTGCATGACAAACATTGTGCTCCAAAGCTACACGGGTCTCTCTCTGGGTTCTGGTGGATAAACGCCCTTAATAGCTTCCTTGGAGGTCAAAGACATTGGGACAGAGTTTAAAACTATCTACTTAGAAATCTGCAGAATCAGAAAATGGTTATCTCTGGCACAGAATAAATACATTTTTTTGGGAAAAAAAGAAAGAAGATATTCCCCCTTATGAAAGTGGCACACGTTTACAGTATCAGTTAGCTACTGCCATGAGAATGCTGCATAACAAATCACTCCAAAACAGTGATCATTGACACTTGCTCAAACATCTCAAGGTCGGCTGGGGGTTTCGCAGCCCTGAGCTTCACTTTGGACCACAACATCTGCTCTAAGACAGGGAGGGCGCTCCAAGGCACGCAAGGAAAGGGGCATAGGTGGCCACGAGCGGTAACATCTGTGGCCTGATCACCACCGCATTCTTTCCAGAATTAAGTCTGTAGTGCCTGCCCCCTCCCACCAGCTGGGTTACACCTCCCCAGTAAACTCAACACCCTTACCCACCACAACCCCACCCATTCACGCTCTTCTCCCTCCTTCATCCCCATGGTGCCGCTCGATGGAGAGGGGGAAAGCGATCCATCCGCTGGAGCTTCTTATACCCACCAATGTCCAAAGCAATGTAAGACAGGACACGCGCTTGGAGAAATCGGGGGTGAAATGAACAATCAGAGAATTGTCACGCCAGAAGGGACATCCCAAACTAGGCAACCAGATACCCACTCTCAGGCGGGCTCAGGCTAACTCCCTGCCACCTCAGACGCCAGGCTGTCTCACCCGGCCTGAGGGAGGTGGGCGATGCATAGCCTCCCAGAACAACCAATCCAAACATGCGATGACTCCTTATTCTCATTCCAGTCTCGGGCTTTCCCTTGAGTTACTTCCTGTAACCATTCCCTGAACTTGGAGATGCAGCAGGAGGCCCCTCATCAGCCTCCTCCCCTCAAGGTCCCTTTACATGCCTGAAAGTAGCCGTCAAAGCATCCCCTGCTTTCCACGGTGCCCCCTGCTCTCTAACCTGCACTTGACAGCCACCTGCAGAGTCGACAATGTGCGTGGGGCTGGGGGGGAGGGGCGGAGAGCAATGCAAGAAGCAAGTGGCTCTTGCCATGAAAAAAATGAATCATAAGCACAAGTCGACACAAGAATCCTGCAGTTCAGACAATTACCCCAAGAACACATTTTCTGATAATTATAGAGCTAAAAATGGATCAGCTTTGCAAATCCCTTCCTTTCTCCAGAGAAAGCTGAGGGGGTGGTTTAACAACAGTCAACTGCTGAGATGCATCACATTCTGGAATGTTTAAGAGACGAGTTCCAATAAATTTCTTGGAAGGTACACTTCCCCGAAGGTGGTGATGCTAACTAGACCCATGAACCCCTCCGCCACCCCCACCCCCATGCACTCACAGCTGGAACTCTGAACCCAGAGGCCCCTTCAGAGTGAAAGACACAGGAGAGACGAGGCTCAGCTGTCCTGCCTTGTGACTCTGCTCGGACATCAAATGGCGCACACTAAGAGCCTGGGAGTGGGCGCTCAGGGGGGTGCCACCAGCCAAGGACGACCCCCGCCTGCTCAGCACATGCCAAGTGTGGGCTCAGGGGTGTTATAAGGAGTCTTAGGCAGCAGCTCAAGGTCAGGATAGCAATAAAAACAACATTGAATGCATGCTGAGCGTTTATGAGGTAGAGGCACATGCCATCCTTATGACCTCTACTTTGGAATCGCCCTGTGAGGTGCACAGCTGCTCAGGGTGGAAGCCTGAGTACTCCACCACCGCCCTCCACCACCTTTGGGGTGGAAGGAACCAGAACCAGCTGAGAAAGATGTTAATAAAGTTAAAATGCCAACAACAAAGAGGGCAGAAAGCGGAAACATGAAGGAAAGGAATGGGACAGAGAAAGTGTAAGTTAGAGACCCCGTGTCCACAATGAACACAATGTAGTTCAACATGACTGTAAAATATGAACTTACATGAGAAGTAAATGTACTAAAGTATGTAAGTTGTGTGCAATGTTGTGGACACTACTAAAACGATGAAACATAAAGATTATTGATCATCCCAGTGTTCTCCAAAAGGATGTGGATTACAGAAGGGCCAGAAAGCTAGTTTCAGTCATTGACTTACTCAGTAAGTATCTACTGAGCACTATTGACAGGCTGTCGTTGTTCTTCCTCCTATGTCACTAGATGTGATAGTGAACAGAACAAAGTCATCGTCTAGTGGGAATAGACAGAACCACACGCCCTAAACGTGTCTGAGGGACTACAGAGAGCTACCAAATTAAGCTAAAAAGCAAGACCTCAATGGCCAGACCATCAGAAACGCCAACAATTTAAAATCACGTTCAGAAAGAAACCACGTCTGCATCCATGAAAATGGCCTTGGGGACCCAGGGCACAGGGACATGGAGGTGAAGAGCTAACAGAGCCAAGTGGCAAAAAGATGGATGTGCTCACGGCAAGAGGAGTGCGGCAGGAGGAAGATGCCACTAGGAAATAACGCCGCAGGCACGTGGCTTGTTGCAGCTTCAAGAAGGTCAAGGGGTGCTCACCCCCCAGTGCCGCTCCCCGTGGGAGCCAGGACGCCATTAGGCTGCAGGATGCGTGATCTGACACATTTACGGCATCTGAGGTCTTGAAGTTAGTGTTTCACCAACCGTGAACTTTCCTCCCCGGCATTTCCCAGCACCGCGAACAGCACCCGTGGTTGACGGCACGGAAGCAGCCGAGGCAGAGGCAGCGGCAGGGGCAGGAGGACCATGGGTGAATGGGAAGGGCAGAACACAGAAACACAGGCTTGCAGCGCCATTCCCTGCAGAGAAACACCTCAGTCGACCGCTTATGGAAGCCTATGCCCGCTATATGCAGCTTTGCAAAGGATGATGCTAATTATCGCGTAGCCTGCGTGTTTGACATCCTTGGCTTTGACTTTGAAAGGTCCGAGGGTGCGGCCAGCAGGACCTTGGCAGAGGTAGCCACAAGCCATTGCTAACAGGTCAGAGTCAATCATCAAGCCGTGTAGAAGGATGAGCCAGGCTACAATGTGATGAGTGTGGATTCGCCCTCTGCCGGAGAATTGAGGGGGGTACATGCAGCTCTGGGGCTAAAAGGCAACTTGGAGTGTGAAAGACCTTAGACCCTTAAGGAACAAACCAGAGACTACGGAAGCAACAGCTGCAGTGGGTTATTGGTGTCCAAGATATCACCTGGGAAAACAGGTTACAAATTCATGAATTACCCTTACTGACAGATGTTGTTAGATTATTTCTTAATCTTCTGTATTCATTGGATCACTCGGATATTCGTATGCATTTTCATTCTTTGAGTGAATCTCACCTGCTGTGATATACAAGACGTGGAATTCTAACGTACTGAGTTTAAAAGGACAATAGCTAGAAAATTATTAACTCCTTGATTAAGCTCTCTCTCCCGATGAAGGACACCGTTACTGAAATATAGAATAAATTTCAGAACCTTGCAGAATTGTTTCCCTGCTCCAAGGCTGGCCTGGCAAGTGGTTTCTCGCGTGCTCACACGAAGCTCACGGACCCCCTTTCGGGTTTACAGGTGGCTCTCTTAGGGCCTGCGGCCCACTTGCTCAGAACCGAGGTCAGGGGTGTCCTTGGGCTCAGGGCAACACATAACGCAAGTTGCCGTTCTCTATATTTTGCTGCAAAAATCACACACTCTCCTACCTGGAGAGGGACAGACTGGTCTCTCTGGCCCCCCAGCTGTGTCACAGAGTTGTGCTAAATACCAAGCTGGAGCTGACATAACGTGCACGAATATGCGCGCACACATGTGCTTCCCACGTGCATGGGGGGCAGCTGTGACCCACGGCCCATCCATCCATTCAGAGCGACCTCCGAATGCCTGGATCCCCCTGGAACAGCAACTCCCAGCCCACCCCTCTGGCACTTCCAACGATGCTGCCAGTCAAAGTGCAAAGCTGAACGGGAGGCTGAAACCTCGAAGGAAACTCATCATCCCCTGAAAAACTTCCCTACGTCTGGCAGTGAGCGGGTGGGAGTGCTTCTGAGCCCAGCACCGGACAGGAGCAAAGGCCACGAGGCCATGTCAGCTGTAAGTGGCAGCCGTCATTATGAAAAGATAAAGAAGCTCTGAATCCAACCAGAGGGCCCTTCACAAATCCAGTGCTGTCCTGACACTTTGATTGACGGCCACCCCTTTTAATTAGTTCCTCTTGTCTGTGGAGGCTTCCAAAAACCCATCACTGGCTGCCACCTCCCCCTCCCGCACCACCATCTTTGCTCCCGGGGAGACAGGATGGGAGCAAGCACTGGGCCTGACCGGCCCCTTGCACCGCGTGACCACGTGCGGCCATGGAGCTCTTGCACTGACCTTGCGCAGAAGGAAACAGATGCGCTCAATGTTCCTCAGCCGCTCCCTCTGTCAGGGTGCATGAGAAAGAAAGGAGAAGGAGGGTTAGAGCGAGACAAGCCCCCACCGTCCTCCCGGTGGAGGAGGTGAGCCCACCAGAGGCCCCCCAGCCAGAGGCGTGCAGGCTCCCGCCCGCGGCTTTTCCTAACAGGAGTTCTTGCATCTGCCTGGTCATAGTCATTTGCTCATAGCAGAACTCTACCAGCAAACAACGAGGGCCCCGCTTCCCTCTCAGCCCAGCAGAGGCGTCTGTACTTTTCTCTACAGGCCAAGTCTCTCTCAGCCTCCATGTTCCATAAGATGGTCCAACTGCTGACCGGCACCACGTGTTCACCGGCGGCCCTAAAGCCTGCAGCCGGCCCTCCTGGGAGGGACTTTCCACTTGGGTTTCAAAGAGCAGATGTGCCTTGATTAGTGTCTACAGAAGAGACGTTCTCTGCCCTTTGGCTTTATTTTTCTAAAGGGAGTGTATCCAAGGGAAGTAACCTCTCCATTACATCGGACAGCAGCCACAGCCCCGGGCTGAGGCTTTTGAAGCTGCCCGAGTTCCTCCCCCGGGTCCGGCTAGTTAGAAGTGCAGCTCTAAGGAGAGGAGCAAGGAGCTGAGGTCCAGCTTCTATGCCACACAGCCTCACCCTTCAATACTCATTCATTCTTTCATCCACAAGCTGTTACTGAGTGCCTACTGTGTGCAGCCTCCGTTCTGGCCCTGACCTTTCGGGGTGGCTCCATGGAACTTCCGCTGGTCCTGATTCTATTCTCTTTGGTCAGCGTGGACCAAGGAACTGGCCGTGGTGAGAGGACGGGCTCAGAAAACGCCCCTGCGGCCCTCCGATCACCTGCACCCCAGTGCGGGGTGTACACAACGGAACTGAGCGGCAGCACAAATTTCTTCACTTGCATTTGCCCTGAGGCCATTCAAACGGCTCTGGTGCTCTAAGTGGCCGCTTTCTGATTTATGCCCCAACAATTAGGAGGAAAGCGGGCTCTGGGCTCCCCCGGAATTCCAGACTAGGGCACTCCAGGCACCTGGCAGATATTGACAAGCCGGACACGAAACGTTGGTGCCAAACATGGGAACATCCAGAAAGAAGGGAGGCCCGGGCCACCCTTTCAGGTCTGGAGGAGCCAAGTGAGCACAGGGGATATTGAAAACACAATGCATTTTCATAATGACACATTTCATGAAATATAGTGAGTTTTCAAGTGGAACGTAGGGATTTGTTTGAGCAACAGAATTCTGCTTTGCACATTTGACTTTGAAAAGGTTTGTCTATTTCAGAGACTCAAAGGATTCAGAGATCGAAGGATGTGAGGCCAAGGGGGCCTCGGGTTTTGTAGGATCAAGTCTTAAAGAGGCCACATGGAGCAGATGATAAGAACACAGGCTTTGGGGACAGGCAGAGCTGGGTTCCAGTCCTGGACTAAGAGCATGGCCCTTCTTCAAGGGGCCAGCAGCTCAGAACAGACCCCTCTGTCCCTGCCACTTAAAGAATGTTGGCATACGCCTTCCAGGCTTAGGAGTCCTCACACCAGGAAATCCTGGGAGCCTTGCTGTGACTTCGGACTGAAAAGATCCACAGAGGAAACCAGGGCCCGGAGGGAACTGCACACAGGCCTGGTGGGTTGAGGAGGAGGCACACACTAGAATGGCCTGTGTGTGCGCGCGTGTGTGTGTGCAGGTCTGTGTACACACGCAGGCACACCCACACACGCTTCATCCCTGAAGCCCCTCAGGGCTGCTCTGCAGTGGGTTTGGAAGAGGCTCCGCCCACACACCCGTCGGGCCGCTGGCTTAGGGACACTGGGCCAGTGTGGCCAGGGAAGCCGACGGCGGGTGCCCACGCCACTCAACAGAAGGGATGTCCTCCTCCTCCCCTGCACTCAAGCCTCTTCCTGCATCCTCCCAGGGCGGGGGCAGCAGGCGCAGCCCGATGAACAGGACGGGGCGGTAGCACGCGGGAGCAGCACGTGCCGAAGCCAGACCAGACGGCCAGACCTGACGAGACTCCCCCGCGGGGGCCCCTCAGCCCACAGAGCTTCTGCGGGCGAGCGCTCCCCGCGTAACGGATCCGGGGCCAGGAGCTGTGTCCATGTACCCACCCTACAAGAGCGGGGCAGACCACGAAGGACGCTCCTATACCCTGCCCGGCGTGGGGACGACGGGGAGCTCTCCCTGTTCAGGGATGAGTGACCAAAACACACGAACACGAGGCCTCGAGGACTCGGCAGCCACAGCCCACCTGGGTTCTTGGGGCTGCCATACCTGACTCACAAGATAAATCAAGCCCCCAGCCGACCTCAAGAACAACAAGTCTCCTCAACAGCCTCGAGCCGGGTGTGGAAGTGCTGTCAGGGCTGAGAAAGTTCTTCACTCATCCTACCCGCTGAACACTCGCCCGTCTGCCAGGCCCTGGGTGCCCCGTGGTGACACCACCCTTCCCACCACCAGCGGCCCCACTTACCGCATGGACAGGGTTGCACTGGTCTATGGGGCTCTTAAAATCTGTTCTTAACTCATCAAAGGCAATGATCTGAAACGAAATACAAAGAAATGAGACATTAGTGCAAAGGTGAATCAATACAATGTGTCAAAAGCTTCCTGGAGATTTGCTTCAAAGTAACCTAGGAGGCAGGACTCAATGTAACACAGAAGGGTGACTCAGTGACAGAAGAAGGTAGTCAATAACGCACACCTGCCAGCAGTCGGTCGCTACCGAGCTGGTGATGGACACTTGGGTTGATTGCACTCTTCTGTCTACTGTGTTTACTTAAAAATCCCCAAAATGGGAAATGGGGGAGATCTTGTCTAAGCGTTCATACTTGCAACTCCTAGAGAAATAAGTCCTGGAAATCTAATACACAGTATAGCGATTCTAGACACAAAAGTGTATTATAGTAACAATTAAGAAAGTAGATCTTAATTATTCCTGACACTAGAAGATATGATAATTATGGGATGGCATAGAGGCTGTCAGCTAGTGCTACAGCGGCAACCATGTTGCAATAAAAATGTATCGCCTTAAAGTTACACAATGTTGTATGTAGGATATATCATAATTTTTTAAATTCCCAAAATAAAGTTTCTTAAACTTTCTGTGCTTAAGCTTTCTGTGCTTTACAAAGATGATGGTGAGAGCAGGCTGGGGATTGGAGAAAAGAACAAAGATGCACTTTCAGCTTCTCTCATTACAGGGAGCTGTTGATTTCTTATGTTTTTGTTTATTTTGGCAGAGGTGCTGACCAAAAGTGAAATGGACAGAAGTCAGGAAAAGAGGGAGGAAAAGCAAGAAAGCAGAGCTGATGGTCATAGAAGGGACCCCGTCTGCGGCGGCCACAGGCTGGATCACCAACCCCCGGACAGTCAAGCCTTCACAGCTTGGCTTTGGGGTCAAGTTCATTCTGGACAGAGACTCGGAGCTCCCGAGAGAGCAGCGGTTTCCCCATTTGTCTGAAGGGGAGAACGTTGGGGGTGACCTTCTCCCGGTGCAGAATAAGGCATGGCATATCCACAGAAAGAACTAGCAAGAGGTGAAGCTCCCTACCCTGGCCACCTTGTCTCCAGAAGGGCAACTCGATGACAGAACAAGGTAGTATTTGGCCAGTGGGCTGCACATAAATGGACATAGCAACCCATCCCCCATGACTGCATGTCCCAGGGAGCCCTGAACATTTTGGCAAAATTGCCAAAGCAATGCAACCGTCACTCCACCACAGCACCCCTCTGCCAGCAGCTCAGGGCTGAGGGTAAGTGCCCTGTGAACAAAAACAACTTACTTCCCTCTACAAAGCAGGTATAATTTTAAAGCAGTCACCTGTCATCCTGATTTCAATACTCCTACAGAGTCAGGAGAAAATTCTAGTATAATTTGTATTCAATAGACACATTTCTATATCATCCTTTACCAGGTAGCTAATTATCCAGCCCGTACTTGAGCCCCTTAGTAACAAGAAACTAATCATTTACTGAGGATGCTTATCCCATTCCTGGCTACCTCTAATTAATCATTGTCTTCCTGTATCAGATTCACACATGGCTCCAGAGGCGGCCACCCACTGTCTAAGCCAGGGTCAGCTAACTGCGGTCCACGGGCCACATCCCGCCTGCCGCCCATTCTGGTACAACTGTGAGCTGAGAGTGGTGTTTATGCTTTTAAAACAGTTGGAAAAAATCAAAAGAAGAACAATATTTGGTGTAAAAATCGCATTGTATTAAAATTTCAGCTTCCATAAAGTTTTATTAGAACACAGACACATGCGTCCTTTTATATGTCATTCTGGGCACGTTCGCACCGCAAGGGCAAAGCAGAATGGCTGCAACAGACACCATAAGGCCTGTCAAGCCCAAGGTAGTTACTATCATATCTTTTACTAAAAAAAAAAAAAAAAAATTGCCAATCTTGGTCTATTCTTTTGTTTGCCCTCCAGAGCCGCACTGTCCAGTAAGGTATTCGCATTTGGCTACATACATTTAAATTTTAATTAGTTAAAATTAAATTTAAAATTCAGTTCCCACATTTCAATTGCTCAAAAACCACATCTGTCTAGTAGCGCTTAAACAGCAGGGGCAGGAAACCCTTCCAGCCTCGCAGGAGGTCCCAGTGCACAGCGCCGCTTTATGGGATGGACCCCCTCCAGAAGACACCCCGCAAAGATCGTCGGCCGTCCTTTGCCCAGCTCTCCCCAGTCTGCGTTGATATAAACCAGCGCTCAGTTGCCTCATCACCCTCATAGCCCTGCATTGACATCATAGCTAAGTGTCTGTCCTGAAATGTCACTGCCAGAACTAAACTCCATAGTCAAGGTGAGGTCAGCCAGCACAGAGAGTAAGAGTGTCAGTCACCTCCTCTGTTCTGTAACCTTTGCCTCTGTTAATGCAACCTGACAGCATTAGTTTTGGGACCCCTGGCTTGATACCGGCCTTGCATTGCCTAAAAGCCTTGGGTCTTTTTTCATGCGCTGGAGCTAAACTCAATCCACCTTGCTCTGCATGCACCTTGTTAGATTTGGGGCCTAGGAGCAGAAACCGACTAATCTCTCTAGTTCCTCGCTATTCAGTTTGGTCCATCCGTTCAGTCTGCTGAGATACGATATGCCTCCAAACTACAAACCCTAATGGGGCCGATGTCCTTAGCATCCTCACTCACACCCTCCCTGACGTAAGTGCAAGCAAGCAGGATGGCGGGCAGAGCCCGAAGCTCGCCTTCCTGGCTGCCCCGAGGCCAGCCTCAGCAACTCTTCGGCCTGGTATCTGTCCAACTGTAAAGACGATGCACTCTGTTTTGATTCAGTCACCTGAAAGTGAAGTCTCTGGGTGGCCTTAGAACCCCCTACTGTTGGTGCACCCCATGTAAGCTCCCCAAAGAGAATGGGAGCCCAGGGAGGAAAGCCAAGCCCCCACGTCTTGGCTGTGGCTGGAGACACGCCTGCACCTTTCCCGTGCCCAGTCCTGACCTGTGCCCGTGTCCCTGTGTAAGTGCTGGGGGGCAGGTCTGGCCTGAAGCGGGGAAAGGAGAGGGGTCCTGGGGGATTCCAAGCTGCCAAGCCAGTAGGAAAGCAGGTGACTACTGACCCCCTCAGCTCCCGACCTGGAAGGAGTGAAGGAAGGAAAGCCCACAAGTGCAGCTTATGCCTTTGAGTTCCATGAGAAAACAGGCACTTCGTGGCGCTTCGCGGTGATGGAGACGGGAAGGCAGGCAATGAGGATACAGGCTTTCGGCGTCCCCACCCACCCCAGTAACCACTCTCTGCGTGCCGGTCATTCCGTGAGCACCTTTCACCCACAGGCTCTGGGATAGGCCCTGCAGAGACCAAAATCCACAAGATCCAGCTCCTGTCCCCATCAGTTTCCTGGTCCAGAGATGGGCAGCACGTAAACAGATTGTTATATTACAATGTGTCAAGGGCTATAATCGAGACGATTCCAACAGCAGCTACCAATCATCACAAGTTCACTGTGTCGGGCACTGGGCTTCACACTGCACATGCTTTTTATCATTTAATCCTTCGGCCACCCGTGAGGCAGATACTACTATTGTCCCCATTTTAGAGACGAATAAACTGAGGCCAAGCGTGGTTCAATGACTCACCCAGGACCACTGCTCTGGTGTCAGGAGTCAAACCAAGGCCTCCCATCTGGTTGCAATGAGGACTGATTAAAATAATGCCCATAAAGCACTGGGCACGATGTCAGTCACAATAAATACGATTGCTTTTATCACTGCAGTTATTAGCACCGTGCAGACGTTTGGGCCTCACCTTCCTGGCCTCATGACCCCCCTCCCGCCCTGGCCGCCCGCAAAGTCATTAGCTGCACACACTCCAGGAGCACCAGGCGCTGTAGGGGGAGAGGCTGGAGGTGGGAGCCAAGGACAGCACCGCTGTGTGAAAGCAGCAGGCCACTCTGTCCAGCTGGGAGACAGCGCAGTGGATCTGGGAGGGAGGCTGGGACCAGCTGCCTCCGGACCGGTCCCTAGACCTGGATGATGAGTACAAATTGGGAAACACAGGGCATGGCTTACGTACCATGGTCTCTGCCAGAATTTGAAGACCTAGCTGGTTCCAACATTGCTTCCCTGGTCCCATCTAGTTAACAGCAAACAATGACACCCCAGAGCCAGGCACTTCTGGGACAGAAGCCAAGAGAGCGGGAGATGGGGCAGGCCCAGCCAACTGGCTCCTGCCGACACTCAGCAGAGCGTTCCAGACTCCAGCTGGCAGCCGTCCTGGTCAGGGTAAAACCCAGAGCACAGGGGGCAAGGAGAAGGTTCACACCCTGCCGACTTGTGGGGGACGTGGGGGCAGCCCCTCTAAAGAATCCAAACGGGGAGGGCGTGGCCTGCAGCAATCTGGGACCTTCCCGGTCCCACTCGGGCAGCCACAGCCCCCTGCTCCGCCCTGCCCCCAACTCAGGCAGCCCACCCAGCACCACTGCTGGACACTTCAAGCGAGTCGGGACCTCAGAGCCTACTGGTCCTATACTGTTCCAGCCTCAGGCTCCGCCTCCCTCCCACCGAGCTTGAGCTAGCTCTGCCATTCTCAAACGTGAGACCTCAGGAGCAACTTCTGGCTCACGTGATTTGGGGACCCTCCACACAGCCCCTGGGTCTCAGCCTTCAGCCTCCCCCAGGTTCCTGGGGTCACTCCTCCGCCTGGTCCCATTGTCCTCTACTCCTCTGGGCACAGGGGCGCCTCCTCCAGCTCCCAGGCCTGCAGCGCCCCTCGGCCAACCCGGCCACGCTTCGGAGCAGTGCGCGCCCGCGAGTGTGGACGTGCATGGGGAAGCTCCCACACCCCAAAACATCTTCCAGGAAACCCATCGTTTTTCCTTCTCCCATTCCCCAGGCCCTGTGGTGGGAGCTGGAGGAGGTGCTACCAAAAGCAAGGCAGCCGAGGGACTTGCCTTTACTGATGACAAAGACTCTCTCCTCGACCAAATCTCAACCAAAATTCAGCGTTAGGCTTCTGTGCCTGTCCTTGCAGGGTCTAGTTTCAGCAAGAATCCTGCTAAGCTGGTTTAGAGAGAATCCCCATC